GGTTGTCCCGAGTTCCAGGGTTGGTTGAGCCTTGCTGGGCCATGTAATCTTCCCAGGTGAGATGGGTAGAAGGCTAATCCTACCTTTGTTGGCTCTTGGGGGAGGGCATTTGCCTATGAATAGACCTAGCTATCTCTTGATCTCTTATATGCATCTGCTGGGGGGCTATTGGGGATGGTGGAGGTTATTAAGAGTCTTGTTTCCTGCCTAAAAACACGTTTCACCATTTCTCATCCAGGGAAATATAATATTCTGCCTTTTTAATTTTTTCTAGGATGGTGATGGCGAACCTCTTTGGCACAGAGGGCTCAAACCAGAACATGCGGGCATGAATGTGTACATTTGCGCCGGAGTGGCCGGACCCCAAAGACCAGCTGCCCGGCGCGCGCATTCCTGGTTTTTTGGCTGTTTTTGGCCTGAAAAACGCCCCCAAAACAGCCTGAAAACAGCCTGAAAACTCTGTTTTTCAGGTGGCACAAAGAGATGGCTCTGTGCGCTAACTCTGGCATGTGTGCTATAGATTCGCCATCATGGTTCATTTTTCTAGGAGATTGGTGGATGCTAACTTCCTATATACTGCAATTTCTTGGGAAGTGCCTGGCACCCTGATGTAGGGTCCAGCTGGTGCCAACTGCCACTTTAATTTAGATCAGTGTTTCTCAACCTTGGCCAACTTGAAGTCCTGTGGACTTCAACTCCCAGAATCCCCCAGGCAGCACAACCCCCCTAAGGGTTTTCTTCTAAGTTAGTTTTTATTTGGGGTGGGGGTTAGATAATCTTCGACACGAGCTCCCTCTGCTGCCTGCTTTAGATTCCTAGCAGGTACGAGGAGGGCCCCCTTTTATCTTCTTATCATTTATCTGATTCCAGAAGGATTTGGAAGGAAATTGAGTGCTCCAACCTTAAAACTTCATTTTAAAAAAATCAGTTTTTTTTTTTTGGAAGGGGGAAGGATTGCAAAAGGAAAGGATTTTGAAGAAACTTTCCAGGAAAGCTCTGTCTTGGGGGGAAAAAAAGAGGAAG